ATTAATATTAACCAAATAACACTATATATTAGACTAAATATTTGAGCTAATTATTTATATCATAACTAATTATTGTAGGTATTCAATAATATATTAATCTGTTTTGGAAACATATTAGAAATTTAGATTGGATATGATACAAGTTTTTTTGGAATTTTAAAGTTTCGGGTTCTTTCGGATATCCATTTAAGTTCGGGTTCGGTTCGGGTAATACCCATAACCCGAAATACCGTAAAACAAGATCCATTTGGTACTTATGTCGGGTTCGGATCGGTTCGGATTCCTTTTTATTAGGTCGGATTCGGTTCGGATTTTCGGGTTCGGTTTTTTTTTCCCAGCCCTACATGCTGTATATAGAATATTCGTTGAGTCATCTCTATATCAGAAAAGACTACAATACCCTCGTTTTCGTCCACATATAAAGAAAGGTGGCTACAGGTTTCCTTCCAATCCAGATAGAGTCAATGGCGTCTGGTAGATCTCTTTTCCTTCTCCTCCAAGTCCTTTTGGTTACGGTTCTTTCCGTCTCAGCCTATCATCTACCGGAGACTGCCGGAGACGACGTCGTCGAAGTCAAGCGCTCGCAGAGGGAGTTTGATTATTTCGCTCTCTCTCTTCAATGGCCTGGAACCTATTGCCGTGGAACTCGCCATTGCTGCTCCAAAAACGCGTGCTGTAGAGGGTACGTTTATGTCTTTCTTTGATCTATAATCTTTCCCTGTTCTCTCGATTGAAACCCAGATTTTGTTACGGATCTTGTTGTCTGAGTTGTTTTGCGTAGCTAAGGATATGATGATGATCTTGATTAATCTTTGTGTGTTTTTTTTTCTTGCAGCTCGAACGCTCCAACTCAGTTCACCATCCGTAAGTTATTCTCTTTGAATTTTATTTTCAGTTTGTGAAGTCAATGTGTGTATGTTTTTCTGAGTTTGATTTTCTCAGTTGTTGTTTTGACTGTTTTAAGATAATGAGTTACATAGCTGATTTTCGCTGTAGGGTTTATTATTGCAACAATAGTTTAGTATCATCTCTCTCTAATACTAATCTCGTAGATGGACTATGGCCGGACTATAACGACGGTTCCTGGCCTTCATGTTGCTATCGATCCGACTTCAATGAGAAGGAGGTAAACGTTCATAATCTACTAGTGTTTTCTTTACTTGGTATATTAGTCATGTCTTATTATCTCAAATGAAGATTCTCAATGGAGACAAAATTTGCAGATCTCAACATTGATGGATGGCCTAGAAAAGTACTGGCCCAGTCTCAGTTGTGGTTCTCCATCAACTTGCCATGGTGGAAAAGGATCCTTTTGGGGCCATGAGGTGATATATATTTTATAACTTAATTCTCTGCATAGTTGTATGAATCTCCCATGCCCAAAACTAACTGAGTTTCATTTGTTGGGTTTCATGTATCTCTTTGCAATACATGATGGCAGTGGGGTAATTATATTTCCTCCACCTAACTTTATATAGAGTTTGAGTACATTTCCTCTTGTTTGAGGGAATGCTAATACAATAAAATGTGTCCTTCTCTTTAACAATGGTTTTGATGGAATTTTTTTACAGAGAAACATGGGACTTGCTCTTCTCCTGTTATTCGCGATGAGTATAGTTACTTCATTACCACGCTTAATATCTACCTAAAGCATAATGTCACGGTAAGTCTTCATAGAGTTATGTTTATGCCTAGCAAATTAGTTAAACAAGAATATTGGGCATAAAAGGATTTACATGCTTTAGTTTGACTTGCATGCTTCATTTACTGTTTGAGTGTTCTCAGCCAGATATCTTTCAGCATCTCAATTTCCATATCATACGCTCAAAATGCTAATTTCTGAGTTATAGAAGTTTTAAAGCAAGTAAATGAATGTTGGTGATTTTTTTTACATCTTATATTTTCCTCTGCTTTATAAGTTTCTAAATTTGAGGATGGCATTTTTGTACATTCTAAAATTTTATTTTTACATCTGGATCTATATTGGATAGGATGTCCTTTATAAAGCTGGCTATGTTGCTTCCAATAGCGAGAAGTATCCTCTAGGAGGTATTGTCACAGCCATTCAGAATGCATTTCATATCACCCCTGAAGTAGTATGCAAAAGAGATGCAATCGATGAAATACGTATATGCTTCTATAAAGATTTCAAGGTCTGTATTCGACGTCTCTGTCATTTTAGATTGGTGATTTCCTTAATTAAAGTGGCAAAGTCATTAAGCTATCTTATCACTGGCATTTTTAAAATTAAAACAATTTGCTAGGCTATAAGAATTGCATCAGTTCATGACAATTTTTTTTTTTTTTAATGTTTATCACTAACAGCCCAGGGACTGTGTTGGTTCAAAAGACATGACGTCCAAAAAATCATGTCCCAAGTACGTAAGTTTACCGGAATACACGCCATTAGGTAAGTTAAATCATAAAACACAAACCACTTTTGTTCATTTCTTTAACAATGCATAATTCCAAGTGGTGTAGATACATGATTAATTATAAAAAAACAAGGATTAGTTAAGCATGTTAAAATGTTGAGAATGTGAACGAATTTCTTATATTCGTGTGTTATGCAGATGGTGAGGCTATGGTTCTGAAGATGCCAACAGATGAATAAGATCTTTCTTCTCTTCTTAGAGGCAATATTCACGTACAGGACTTTGATGTTGTAATTTTATGGCCAAACCTATAAACAACGAATAAAGACTGGCTTCTCTTATCTTATGGGATACGAATCCGGAATAATCTATTTCTTATTCTTTACAGTTACAATATTATGAAATCCATAGCAAGAAAATCGTCTATTATATGATGCCATATTGGATAGAAACTATAGTTGTTTTTTTAAGAACGTGAAAAATAGTCATCTTTTATACAAACTGATAGGGTGATAATGAGGCAAAATAATTGTATAACCAAATATAATTTTAATGGTTTAATTTTTTTATATTGCAAACAATGTGTCCTTTTTCGACGAACATACACTTTGATTATGATGGACATTATTCGAAGGATGGAGATGATTATGAATGAATTCCAACCGATGCTTGTTTGTATGCTACATCCTTTAAGATATCATCATTGGAGGAGATCACTTATTCATTATTGAAGTATAGGATATGCAAGAAGATGAGAATATATCTGTTTACGAAGAGACTCAATTTGGGTTACATTCCATTGGTAGTGGAACCTAAGAGGCAATCATATATTTTGGATGATTAAGATGTGTTTGTTTATCTAACATCAGTGGATAAAGAGCAAAGAATAAGTATTTTACATGTGGAGGACATGCAAGAATTGCAAATAATTCAAATAACCAAGCAACTATCAAGAGTTGAAGAAAGCTCTTGTAATAGGAATTATAGTGAGCGTGAGAGTGGATATGGAAAAAAAAAAAGAATGTGAGCACTGGTTTAGAACACGGCGAACACGATGAACACCCCTACAAGAAACAGAAGAGGAAACGTTGTGAGGTGAAGTAGGTTGTAAGCCTTTCACTTTCAGTTTTGATGCTTTTATCGTCTTGTGAGGTGAAATTTGTGGGAATTTGTTTTTGTGTGTTGTACAACCAAGTGAAACTTTTTCCTTTACTCGTATAACTACGATAGGTAAACTGAGTAATATGATTGTAAATTCTAAACTTGTTCATAAGTCATGGAAGTAATAAGATGGTGATTCATTATTAATGTTTATGATAATTATGATCTAAACAGAATTATTAAAATTCCATCTCATTGATTGTTAGCAATCATCTAGGAAATACATTGCGTTCTCATAGCTTTTTCTCCTTTTTCATTAATACCCACCTCGTTATATTTGAAAATTTGTTAATGGCACGAAATCAAGTTTATGTGTACATGATCGTATGTTAAAATGAACCAAAGAAACATAATTTAATTGGTATAACTATAAAATCAGTCACTCAAGTAGAGTATAACTAAGATAAATGGAAATAATTAAAAAGTAGAACTTTGATGTTTTATGTAAAATTAAAAACTTGGTGAAACTTCTTCCACGAAAATCCTTGGATATAATTTTCCGCCCAGATTTTTGAAATTCTAATTCCTGTTTTCCCAATTTGCTAAAACCCCAAAATCGCAAAATCGTGTAATCGAAGTATTAAAGACCTTTTTTTTGTTTTTCCCATTCGTTATTTTCTCCTTTCTCTCTCTTCCCTAATTTATCTCTCTCCCAACCGAACTCCTCCCAACCCTGATGTCCGCTTCATCTTCCACGACCAGCGGTCTGAGACGAGTACAAACTCCGGGAATACCTAGCACGTGTTGGTGCGGGGTGTGCACCACCGAGCTCATCTCCAGAAGCAATCAAAACCCATATCGCAGATATTAGCGGAGTCTTTATGTGGCTTCACAAAGGGTACATCCGTTTAGCTTTAGTTATTGCAGGCTTACTCGTTTTTCTTTTAATTGGTAGGTTTAATCCGTTTAAGCTTGAGAATGACAATCACGTCTTCAAATGGGTTGATGAAGCTTACACCGATGAGATACAACAGTTGGACTACCAAGTTCAAAAGCTAGAAGAAGAAGTTCAATTTATCAAAACAACAATAAGGAGTGAAGGTGAACTTAGTGAAGGTCCCAATATAATGCCCAAGATATCAGGAGGTTTTGTTATTCTTGCCGTCGTTTTAGTTCTAGGAATTATGATGTACAAGAAGTAATTTCTAAGAGATTTCAATTCCTACAGCTATGACAAAGTTAATTTTTTTGTTTTTTCTAAGTTTTGGGTAAGTTTCTCCTAAATTATGCAAAGTTGGATAACTATGTAGTTTGATCTATCAAAAAAGATGTTACCAGTTATACAAGCAACAACTTCAAGTTCATCTATTTTTTCGAAGTTGGAAAATTGAAAAGGTTAAGATGACAAAGTTTCACCAACATTTGACATAGTTTCCCCAACATTTAAACAAATTTTCACACAGCTTAAGACAAGTACGAAGATGAAAAACATTGAGAACAACAAGATTTACAAAAGACCTACAGCCCCATATGTAATAACCCTCACGACCGGATTAGAATTTGGTCGAGAAAAATTCCGCTCGACAAGTTTGAGTTGGTCCAATCAGATTGAAAAATAAAAAATAATCGACCCAAAAAATTAATTTCTCGATGGGACTGTCTTGTGGTCGAAAGACCTCCCCTTGAAAGTTTTGGTCGAGTGTTAATTACTATGTTCGAGTTTTATTCAAGGTCGACGAGTCTAGTCAAGAGCAGGACGGGAATTAGTGGACGAGAAATAATTAGTCGAAAACTGTTCTGAAATATCGACAAGCTTTCTATTTTTCTTGCTAACCCGTCACATGCCTTGCACCTTCTAACCTGCTTGCTTCCTCGGTAATTAAGTCACATGACCTGCACCAGCCAGTCTGCTTGCTTGCTGGCTCAGTTTAATAAAACAAAAATTATGTGGCTGGGAAAAGATTTCTTCATGTGAGGGAAAGGAGAGCTGCTTGGCTGTTGATAGTGATGAAGCTGGTCACCACCTGTCCACTCCTTTCCTTGCTTTGTCCTGAGTGAAACCCTGAGGTGAAGCAATCTCCTATGATATAAGACACCATCTTCTCTCCTCTGGACGTCCATAACCTGCAAGAAAAACCAGAGAAATATTGAGTGAAAAACAGAGAAAACCAGTGAGAGAAATAGGAGAGAAAAATCAGAGAAAATTATGGGGAGATTATTTTGTCTTCTCTTGACTGATATGAAGTCTTTCATAAGTCTGGCCAAGATGGTGACAGAAACAGAGCAGAGTCTGGTCGATTTTTCTCTTCATATCTAGGACCAAACTTAGCTATGTCCATGAATAAATCTAAAGAATAAGTCTTAGAAGGATACCAAGGATCAGTCTAAGTCACGTTCAAGAGCTGAGTTAGGCGTGACCATAGAGTTTGAGTTTAACTCGGGTAGGCGTGGCTTCAACTAGAATTGGTGTACCAGCTGAGTTCAGATATTGTTGATTTTAAATTGATGGTCAATGAGAGTGGCCGGACCAGTTGGATCAAGCCTTGTCCTCATTCTGTTTTGGGAAGTGATCAGCAAGTGGTGAACGTTTAGCTTGAGCTTGTGTATAGTCTTCCTTAGCCAATCTCATGGATTCAAAGGTGAGTCTAGATAGATGAATGATGATTTATGAAAGAGTGTTGCTTGATTTAATTACTGAATATGATTGATTGATTAGCAAAGTATCTTAACCTATAATTATGGTGAGGTGTTTACTTATCTAAACACTTAAGAATAATTATGAAATATTATTTGAGGTTTACCCTGAGCCTTAGTACTTGTTCTCAAGTACTTATATATAAGCATACTATTAGTACTATAAGTAGGAATCGTGTGAAGTCTTATTGTATACTCACTCTCCCGAAAGTCCCGCATTATCGTGAATTGGTCCTGCGATATGGATCAAGGTCATGAAGACACGATGATGGGGTCGCACCCTGGAGACCGTGTAACTGCATGCAGCTTTGGATATTCTATCTTGGAATATCTGATGGAGATGATGGTTATATTTATTCCCCGCTATGTTTGGTTAGCCTTGGTGGTTTTCCGGGTTTAGCATATATATATATATATATATATATTATGAGTATGAGTGATTGGCGGGTATCGTGGAGGTGATGTTTAAGATGGATTCACATTGATCGAATGATAGGCCTTATATATATATATATATAGTTATGGAATATATTTCCACTGCATACAAATGGAGTTCACTCTTCGGGATATTATTAATATGTGTTGGGGTGTGGGATTAGACTCACTGAGTAAACTAGTTACTCATGACTCATTTGTGATGAAGGTAACCAGTAGGCGGGAGACCTTTACTATAGGACGTGAAGGAACGGCTTCAGCGAGCGGTAGATTTATTATCCTTGCAAAGTCGTTTCATATATCTTATGTATAATGTTTGTTAACCGAAAACCTCGAGGTTAATACTTAATGTTTTTTAAGATGCTTTTGAAAGAATATTATATAATGTATAAAGAATGTTTCTTTAAGTACGGGTTCCATATGATATTAGTCCTCGTCCGGATGAACCAACTATTGGGTATTACTCGGTCGGGTTGCAAAGCCTTGGGTTGTACGTAATAGGATATGTGTACTTAGGCAATTGGCTTAAGGTACTTGGATTCATCCTGGGAACTTTGAGTTAATCGTTTATGTGCACATTGTGGCTTCTTTGGTTTGGTTTAAGTTACTAGTGATTGGTTGTGCATGTTCTTGTTTGATTGTAGCACAGTCGGTTGAGTCAACTTGTACTTAGACCAGATCGGGGGTGTCACAAAGGTGGTATCAGAGCATGGTTATACGATGCTTAAATGGGAATTTTTTAAACGTTTTTCGAGTCGAAATGAGTCGCAAGGATAATTAGGATGTGCTGGCTGGTTCCTTCATCTTAGGATAGATAGTCATGGGTAGTGACCTTACTGTTATCTTTCATACCAGATGCACCATGACAATCTCGATGAGATGGAGCGTACTTACTGATTTTGATCCCGTCAAGCTTGGGTTTTCTACCGTCATGTTTGAGCTTTTTCTATCTTCATGCTCGGAGTTAGTATCGTCATGCTTTCCTGCGGAGCTTATAACTTCTAGTATGGATACCGATCATTCGAAGATATATGGGACATAGTTGACGCATCGATTACATCTTCGGACCCATGTGATATTGATGTCAAGGTGGACGTTGTTTGTGATGATCTAGTTCAGAGCGATCCGACTTTATATGTACACTCAGACGCCCTTGTTTTTCCGGTAGCCCAGGTCTATCCATCTTATGCTCAGATATACCAGTACCAAAACCGTACCAGCCTAATTGATTTAGCGTTTTTTTCAAGCTTAGCGTTCATAGCGGAGATAGTTCGACTGTAGTACAAGA